GCATGGTAGGGGCTGATCTGAGTCCAGTCCTCTCTGCAGTGATTCTAGAAACTAGACTGTTGGTTACATGATGTCCATCACTGATCTGTAGAGTCCTCAGGAATAACCATCAGTGACCCTTTCCCAGTTTCTCTGGCCATCACCCTACTTCCCCCTTACACTTCCTGTTGATTAACCTTCCAAGGCAAGGTAACCAACTGATTTCAGTCCAGCATTTTATTGGGTACTTGTATACTCTGTGCCATACATGCTATGCTAAATGATCATATTCTATGAAAGATATTTAAATAGACAATTACTCTTCAGTGTAATGAAGTGTAATGCTAGGCCTTAACTATGTCCTAGTCATCATTGTATCCTTAATCCCAGGCCAGTTAGTTAGCATGTACTGAACACCATCAAGGGGCCAGGCACCATACTCAGTGCCAGCCCTTCTTTCTCAGCGTAACTGTTACAAAAAATTTTATAAAATAAGTACTAGTGTAATCCCAGTTTTAAAGTTGTGGAAATTAAGGGCACAAAACAATTTAAAAGACATGCCCCAAATCACACAGCTATTAAGAGAGCCAGAATAAAAATCCAGGCAGAGTGTCTTCATTGTCTCTAAATATTTGTTGCAGGAGAAATGAGAGGCAGAAAGGGGAAGGCAGTAGGAGAGTAGGGGAATAAGTGAGCAAGCGAAGATGAAGGTCTGCCCCAGGTAGCTCAGGTCCACAGGGGGATGAGTTTATTCTACCTGGGAAGGGAAGCATCATGGAAAGTTCGCAAGGGAAGTGGTGCTTAGAGAATAGGCATCTCTGGCCAAGGCAGGCTAAGGGAGTAGAGCTAAGGCCAGCCCTTCCATTTTTGTGCTAGATCCTTTCCCCCTCCGCCTTCTCAAAGACATTCTCCCCCAACCTGGCCAACATGGTGAAACCTTGTCTACAAAAAATACAAAAATTAGCCGGGCGTGGTGGCGGGCACCTGTAACCCTAGCTACTCAGGAGGCTGAGCCAGGAGAATCCCTTGAACCTGGGAGGTGGAGGTTGCAGTGAGCCGAGATTGCGCCACCGCACTCCAGCCTGGGCGACAGAGTGAGACTCCATCTCAGAAAACAAACAGACAACAAAAAGAAACATTCTCCCTACAACTGTCCTATCTCTACTGCATCGTGAGTCTTTCTTTTATTCTAACCAGCTTCTAAACTTAAGAAAATATTTCCTAACCTCAAAAAACAATTTACCCTGCTTCCCCGCTCCAGCTATTGCCCCATTTCTTTGTTCCTTTGTAACAGAACTCCTAAAAATAGTCTGTGTTTCATGACTTCAGTTTCTCTCCTCCTGTTTTTTCTTAAACCCAGTGAAACAAGTTTCACCTCCACATTCCAGTGGAATGGTTATTGTTGAGGTCGGTGGTGACCTCCCTGTTGCCAAATCCAGCAGTTAGTCCTGTGGCCACACCTTACTGGACCTGCACAGTGTGTGATGCAGTTGGTCTCTGCGTCCTTCCTGTGATACTTCGTTCACCGCAGCATCACACTCTCCCGCTCCTTCAGCCTCCTGCAGTGCTACTCCTCACCTCCCAAATGCTGATCCTTCAGACACACATCAGCCAGGGCACCCTCCCACTGGATATCATGTGGTGACTCTCCCTGTGATTGGATCTGAACCCAAGCCAGGCGCTCATGGCAGCCACGTGTCTCACACAGCGTGTGTGTGGCACCCCAGAGGATAGGCATCCCCTCCAAATGTGCTCCCTCACCACATCCTCATGCGATTGTTGGAATTACGTGGTTTCCACTGCACATGGGGAAGCTGAAAATCAGATTTTCCATCACTTGCTTGTCAGTGTCCTCTGTGAAAGTTTCTGATTCCAGATCTGATGCTTTTCCCATTTATGACCCATTGCTTGGCCTGATTCCTTAAACTCGCTCCTCCTGAGTGAAGCAGGAGAGTGGAAGCGTCTGGTTCCTTCTTTGGGACTCCAGCCTGTCCATCTGGATTTCCTCTTGTGAGTGCAGTGGTGACTCTCTTCACCCCAGGGGCTTGGTAGTCACATTTGCAGGACAATGGGTGCTCTTACTGGGTTTAATGCTAAATCTCCCAAAATGAAAGGCCAGCTGCAGAGGAGAAGAACAAGGGCTGAGTGATTTGATCAGACATCTGTGGGGGCCTGCTGGCATTTGGAGTGTGAGTGCCTTAGAGAGACTAACTATTCTGGCCCCAGGGAGTTGGCGACAGTTAATCTTGGTGGTTTTGACCGCTAACTGCCCTAGAGGTCCCAGCCTGCTGGATGACTCAGAATCCCCAACACTCCCCCTATTCTTCTCTCACTGGGATAGTCAGGAGGCCATTTCTAAGGCATTTTAATTTGGTAATAACTTGACATGACCCACTGTACCCAGAGTTGTATGTTTTAGGAGTTACTGTCGCTTTCTAAATGAGGGGTTCATTTGGAGCCCATCATCCTTGATGTTGAATTGCCTTGCACTGCCGTGGAGGCAGCAGTATCTCCCGCCTTGCCTGCTGGGCTCCAGCTCCCTCTCCATTGTAGATGACGTGATCCTGTGCCCCCTGGACTGTCCCACAGCCCTTCTTCTTTAAGCACCTTGTCAAAAGTTGAGGGGGTAAACGAGAGAGAAAAAAGGTGGCCAAAAGTTTGTCCGTTGTGCGTTTATTTCTGCACTGCACTGTGTTAAGAAGGGCCCCTGCTGTCCATCTTTCTTCTGTTTATGGAACCTTCTAGAATTCAGAAAGACCACAGGAACTCACAGCACGAGGCAGGCAAGCAGATGGTGGGAGATTGGGAGACAGGACATGAAGAGACTCAAAATGCCTTACTGCCGCGGACCAGAGCTCTGTGAGACCTTCTGGACTGTCTTCTCCACCCCGTCTCCAACTGTGTTGACCCCTCCTGTGCTGTCTTGTGCCTTCCTCTGTGACCGTGTTGGTGGCAGTGCCCTGTTAAGAGTTCCTGCACTGGTGTTAGAGACCTTGGGTTCTAATCCAGTGTCTACCACTTATATGATCTTGGATTAGTCTCTTCATCTTTCTAGGCCTTGTGTGCAAATTAATTCATAGCACCAACTCACAGAGTTGTTGAGAGAGCTAATTGAAAACATCTAGAACGTTTTCGTCACTGTGCCTAGTCAAAAAGCTTGTAATCAGTTCCATAATTGCACCGAGGTTTATATTTCATTTCAAAAATACAGTTGTTTACGTAAGAAAAGATTGTTTTGCTCTTGTTAAAATTCTGGCTTTCTTTTGCCTACCAAATAAAGTCCCAGCTCCTTGGCTTGTCACTCAGCCTTCAGGTTGCATTTCAGGCTTTGAATTTCCTTGGTGGGGGATGCTTGAAAATGTAGATTTCTAAAAGAAATTGTGCGTTGATCAGATGAGTTTGTATATGTTCAATGAGCAGTTACTCTGTGTAAGGCTCTGGGCTAGGCCCGAGGGGTCTATGGTGAATCAGACATGACAGTAGGCAGTGGCATCATCATTTCTTGTACCACCACTCCACACCCACCCGCCCAGACCCTGCAGAAGGCATCCTGGAGGGTAGGCTTCCCACAGGGCCCCATCACAGTAGAGCAGCTGGGCACCAGAGTGTTGGCAGCAGGCCTAAGGGTGGGGGTGGAGGAAGTGGACTGGCAGTCAGCCAGGGCTTACTCAGGTGCCCCAGCATGCAGGGCCTCCAGCCCACAGAACCCATTCACTGACTATATCCTGTTCTTTGGTTGTGATCTTCTCTAGACTGAATGGTGCAGAGATTTTGGTGGCAGGGCAGTGACTCCAGACCCAAATTGAATGCATAAGGACATTGAAACCCAAAGATGTGAGGTGGCATGATTGTGGTCACACAGCAACAAGCCAGGATTAGAACACAAGTCCTCTGAAAAGTACGCAGCAGTCTCGGCCTTGCAGGTTCCTGAGATTGCGTTGTCTGCAGTGAGACTGTCAGGGTCATTTTGTTCCTTAAGAAAGTTATAGGGGTCTTCTCTGTGCCCATTTATGCAAGGCACTGGAGAGGGTAGGCAGGGTTAAATCAGACTCTGACCTTAGGATTTTACAGTGTGTCAAGGGAGACATACTACCAAAAATTACAATACAGAATAGCAAGTGCTGGGGGTAAGTATATGATGTGAGGGGCAGGGGGAGTGACTGTACAAGCACAGAGGAGGCACTTAGCCCAATCTGAGGGTCAGAGAATCACTCCCAGTGAAGCTGATATTTCAGCTTAATCATGAAGCACCAGTAGTTATTAGCCAGATGAAGAAGGACAAGGAATAACATTACAGGCAGAGAGACCAGGAAGGCATCCTCAACTAAAAGTCTAATGGTTACATCAATAACCCCAATTACATACATTTATCATGTCTGTATTCGGCCACTGTTCGGGACAGTTCCCACTGTTGGGGAATGGTTCCTACTGGGTGGATCATAGCATGAATGGAGAGAATAAAAGCAGATGAGGCTGGCCATGTAGGAACATACAAGGAAGGTGGAAAGGCCAGGGGCTCTGACCATCAAAGCCTGAGTATCTCTATCCTGTGAACTCCAAGCACCACTCCCCCGGGTATTGGAGCCTTGATAGAGCTCCTCATTTCCTTGGTATCAGGCTTCCTGCAAAGAATCTGTGAGTATGAGCTGGGCATGGTGGCTCCATGCCTGTAATCCCAACACTTTGGGAGGCCGAGGTGAGAGGATCGCTTGAACTCAGGAGTTCAAGACCTGCCTGGGCAACACAATGAAACCCTGTCTCTTAAAAAGAAATCTGTGAGAATCCAGGTAAGTTCCTTTTACAGATACTATCCAGGGGCCTGACTTACTTATCTATTCCTTTAGGGTTTGGGGATTTATTTTGTTTTTACCCTTAAAGCCTTAATGTGGAAAAATGCCTGAAGTGCTGATTATAGGAATGAAGCTTCACTCAAGAGTCAAACACCTACAGCTCCTTACGAATTAATAACCCACTCAGTGCTCAGTACCTGGCAAGCTGTAACTTTCCTTCTCTTCCCATAGGCCTGCTGAATTAGCCACCAAGTACGCAAACTTTTCAGAGGGAGCTTGCAAGCCTGGCTATGCCTCAGCCTTGATGACGGCCATCTTCCCCCGGTAAGTGCTTCTGTTTCCTCTACTGCCTAGACAGCCTGGTCTGGGGTCCAAGAGCCAGAAACTCTGCCTCTCACAGCCAGTCATGTTCTCCTATGCTCTGGAAACCATGGGTTCCTAGAAAGGACTCTGCCTTTAAGTTAGTTCCTACTCCAGTCCTACTCCATGCCCTTGCTTTGCCTTATTCCCATCCTGTCTCTGGAGCTTGCACCTTGTGGCACAGCCTATTTCTGCGGAAGGATAACCTACATGGTTGCCCCATGCAAGCCAGGTATCCGAGGCAGCCAGAGAAGGCTGCCAAGCACAGAAGCTCCTAGACCTAGTATCAGTGGCCAAACGAACTTTTTTGGAAGCTGGGACCAACTAGCTGGCTTCAGGGAGGCATATCCAAATAAAGCAGGGAACAAAGAGAAATTTCTGAGGCTGTCTTCAGTTTTAGCACTTTCCTTCTCTGTCCATTTTGCATTCTGGAGCTGCTGGCTTCTTCGGCACCTGACAGAATCTGTGCATAACCTAGGGAGTTCCTTTTACCAAATGCTGCTAAAGAATCTTGCTTACCGATCCATCCTCCTTTTTGGTTTTCTTTTCTGAAGCCTTGATATGGAAAAGGAGCTGAAGTGCTGAGATGGTCTTTGGAGTGCAGTGAAACTGTCAGAGTCATTTTGTTCCTTCTGATTTGGAGGGGCTGGAGGAAAGACTGCCTAGGATTGTCTGGGCACTTGGACCACCAGAGGAGTGCTAGGGGTGGGCTCTGCTCATTGGGGAAAGGACTTGCCTCCCATCCCTTAGAAGGCTGAGGTTAAGACACACAATGTGCTTGCAAAGGAATGCTGAGAAACAGCTGGCCCCAAAGTAACTCCAGGATATTTGGTTTTTATGCTCCCTTTCTTTTCTAACGTGAGCAGTCTCAGCTTAGCTCCTTGTGTAAAGCAAGGGCTACGCTGACTGAGTATCCAGTGCTCAGATAGAGATCTCTTTGTCCAGGGTCTGCCTTCTGAATTGATTCCAAATATTTTGCTTCCTCCAGCTATTTATTGAGTGCCCCTGTGTCTGGCTTTGTGTTCTGTATTCTTAACACAAGTTTTTGCAAGCCTATATGACTCAGTCCCTTGGCCCAGACACCTGTGAGTTTTCCTTGACCAGTATATAGGTTTCTTTTACTTTTTCTAATTGAAAGTAATACAGGCATGTGGAAAACAAAATAAAACAAAAAAAAAAACCCTCAAACAATACAAGAGGGTATATACTGCCACTCCAGGCCCCTTCCAGAGACAGCCAATATTACCATAAATGGGAACATACTGTATTTAGTATTTTGTGCTGTGTATTAGGCCATTCTTGCATGTCTATGAAAAAATATCTGAGACTGGGTAAATTGTAAAGAAAAGAGGTTTAATTGGCTTATGGTTCATTAGGCTTTACAGGAAGTATGGTGCTGGCATCTGCTTCACTTCTAGGAGGGCCCCAGGAAACTTAAAATCATGCCAGAAAGCAAAGGGGGAGCAGGCACGTCATATGGCAAAAGCAGGAGCAAGTGAGTGAAAGAGAAGAAGTGCTACACACTTTTAAACAACCATATCTCACAAGAATTCACTCACTATCACAAGAACAGAACCAGGAGGATGGTTCTAAGTCATTAATGAGAAACCACCCCCATGATCCAGTCACCTACCACCAGGTCCCATTGGAGATTACATTTTTTTCCTTCCTTTTTTTTTTTTTTTTTTTTTGAGACAGGGTCTTGCTGTGTTGCCCAGGCTGGAGTGCACTGGTGCAATCTTGGCTCGCTGCAGCCTTGACCTCCGGGCTCAAGCAATTAGCCCACCTCAGCCTCCCGAGTAGTTGGGACTCCAGGCACATGCAACCACACCTAGCTAATTTTTATATTTCTGGTAGAGGTGGGGTTTTGCCCTGTTGCCCAGGCTGGTCTCAAACTCCTGGACTCAAGCGATCCACCCACTTTGGCCTCCCAAAGTGCTGGGATTACAGGTTTGGGCCACTGAGCCTGGCTGGGGATTACCTTGCAATGTAAGATTTGGGTAGGGACAAATATTTAGACTGTATAATTCTGTCCCTGGCCCCTACAAATCTTATGTCCTTCTCGCATGTTAACATACAGTCATCCCTTCTCAATTGTCCCTGCAAAATCTTAACTTATTCTAGCATTAACTCTTAAAGTCCTGAGTCCCATATCTAAATTCTTATCTGGAAATGAGTTCCTTTCACCTATGAGACTGCAAAATCAAAACAAGTTGCTTACTTCTGAGATATAATGGGGGTATAGGCATTGGGTAAACATTCCCATTCCAAAAAGGGGTAATCAGCCATAAGAAAGGGGCTATACACCTCATGCAAGTTTGAAACCCATCAAGGTAGTCATTAAATCTTAAAGCTCCAAAATGATCTCCTTTGACTCCATGTCCCACATTCAGGGCACACTGGTGCAAGAAGTGGGCTCCCAAGATCTTGGGCAGCTCTGCCCCTGTGGCTTTGCAGGGTGCAGTCCCTGCGGCTGCTCTCATGGGCTGGCATTGAGTGCCTGAGGCTTTTTCAGGTGCAGGGTGTAAACTGCTGGTGGATTTACCATTCTGGGAACTAGAGGATGTGGCCCCCTTCTCACAGCTCCACAAGGCAGTTTCCCAGTGGGGACCCTGTGTGAGGGCTCCAGTCTCACATTTCCCCTCCACACTGCCCTAGTAGAGGTTCTCTGTGAGGGCTCTACTCCTGCAGCAGGCTTTTGCTTGGGCAGCCAGGCTTTTCCATACATCCTCTGAAATCTAGGTGGAAGCATCCAAGAATCCTCCATTCTTGCAGTCTGTGCACTCTTAACACCACATGGAAGCTGTCAAAGCTTGCAGCTTGCATTCTCCAAAGTGGCAGCCTGAGCTGTACCTTGCCCTTTTTGAGACATGGCTAGAGCTGGAGCAGCCAGGATGTGGGGAGCAGTGTCCTGAGGTTGCATAGGGGCCAGGCCCTGGGCCCGACCCATGAAACCATTTTTGTCTCCTGGGCCTCAGGAACTATGATGGAAGGGGCCACCTCAAAAATCTCTAAAATGCCTTTGAGGCTTTTTCCCTGTTGTCTTAGATATTAGCACTTGGTTCTTTTTTATTATGCAGATGTCTCTAGCAAGTGGTTACTCCACAGCCTGCTTGAATTCCTCTTCTGAAAAAGCTTTTTCTTTCTTTGCCATGTGACTTGGCTGCAAATTTTCCCAATTTTTATGTTCTGCTTCGCTTTTCAATATAAATTCCAACTTTAAGTCATTTACTTGCACCCGTATCTGAGTGTAAGCTCTTAGGAGCAGCCAGTCATATCTTGAATGCTTTGCTGCTTAGAAATTTCTTCTGCCAGATACGCAATCATCACTCTCAAGTTCAAACTTCCACAGATCCCTTGGGAAAGGGCACAGTGCAACCAAGCTCTTTGCTAAGGCATAACATGTTATGACCTTTGCTGCGTTTCCCAGTGAGTTCCTCATTTCAATCTGAGACCTTGTTGGCCTAGATTTCATTGTCCATATCCCTATCAATATTTTGGTTACAACCATTTAACCAGTCTCTAAGAAGTTCCAAACTTGCCCTCATCTTCCTGTCTTCTTGTGAGCCCTCCAAACTCTTCCAACCTCTATCCATTACCCGGTTCCGAAGTCATTTCCACATTTGCAGGTATCTTTCTAACACTACCTTACTCCTGGTACCAATTTTATGTATTCGGCCATTCTTGCATTGCTACAACGAAATACCTGAGACTGGCTAAATTATAAAGAAAGAGGTTTAATTGGCTCACAGTTCTGCAGGCTTTACAGGAAGTGTGGTGCTGGCATCTGCTTACCTTCTAGGGAGGCGTCAGAAAGCTTACAGTCATGGCAGAAGGCAAACGGAGAGCAGGCATGTCATGTGGCAAAAGTAAGAGCAGGTGAGAGAGGGGAGGTGCCACACACTTTTAAACAACTAGATATTATGAGAATTCACTCACTATCACACGGGAACAGTGCTAAACCATTCTTGAGAAATCAACCTCCGTGATCCAATCCCACCAGGCCCCACCTCCAACACTGGGGATTACATTTCTACATGAGATTTGAGTGAGGACAATTATCCAAACTATATCATGTACCTTCCTTTTTACTCCTAAGAATATAGGTTAGAGATTATTATATTACCCACATATATGGATCCACTTCATTTTTTAAATGAATGCATAATATACAATTGTATGACTGTATCATAATTTTATTCAAATTAAGGTTAAATTAAAATTATTGGTTAATTAAAGGTTAAAATTGTTGGTTAATTGAAGGTTAATTAAAATTATTGGCCTGGTGCAGTGGCTCACGCCTGTAACCCCAGCATTTTGGGAGGCCGAAATAGGCGGGTCACTTGAGGTCAGGAGTTTGAGACCAGCCTGGTCAACATGGCAAAACCCTGTCTCTACTAAAAATGCAAAAATTAGCTGGGTATGGTGACACACACCTGTAATCACAGTTACTTGGGAGTCTGAGGCAGGAGAATCGCTTGAACCAGGAGGCAGAGGTTGCAGTGAGCTGAGATCACATCACTGCACTCTAGGCTGGGCAACAGAGTAAGACTCCGTCTAAAAAATAAATAAATAAAATAAAATAAATTTTGTTTCAAATTAAAGTTTATTGAAGTTTAATTTACAAACAAAATTTCCCTTTTAGTGTAGTTCTGTAAATTTTTATGAATACATACTTTGTGTAGCCACCATTACAATCAATAGTACATTTCCAGCAATCTTAAAATATTCCTGGCCGGGCGCGGTGGCTCAAGCCTGTAATCCCAGCACTTTGGAAGGCCGAGACGGGTGGATCACGAGGTCAGGAGATCGAGACCATCCTGGCTAACACAGTGAAACCCCGTCTCTACTAAAAAATACAAAAAACTAGCCGGGTGTGGTGGCGGGCGCCTGTAGTCCCAGCTACTCGGGAGGCTGAGGCAGGAGAATGGCGTAAACCCGGGAGGCGGAGCTTGCTGTGAGCT